GTGAAAATTTTTTGCGGGTAAGTTACTAATTCAGGAACCAGGAAATATAAAAAGCTGAAATTTTAAAGGGATGCTTCCTGACAGTCTTAGCGGTCAGTCTCAATTTTTTCAGCTAGAAGCACCTGCCGGAAAAAACAGTGCCGTTAGCGACAAAAATCTGCAAGGGGCTATGCAAAAAACGCATCTTCGCACGGGCAGCCCGTGCGTTGGCTAATTATTTATTTTCATGAGAGTGCAGAGGTGTGGCGGAATACAAACCCGCGTTCGTCTAGTTAGGCACCACATTCTGATTCGCTCCTCGGGTCGTCGGTTGCCCATATGTGTTCTAAATGTTTTTAGTATTTCTAGGTTTCCAGAAGTAAAATTTTGGATTTCCGATAAGTAATAGCACAAGAGAATTTCATCGTTACTTCAGAGAATTTAAGGTCACTTCACCTCACCCCTTGCTCTCATATTTACCGCATGAATCTAATCCAGCTGACGCGAGTTCTCATCGCCGTCGTACGAAGGCCATGCTCCAGTATATATTGCGTGTACCTTATTAGTGGCGACTGTGTGGTTGTCAGGCTCTCCCTCATTTCTCCGTCCCTCTCGTCCTCCTCGCTCTCGGGCTTACCTCACTTCGCTACGCTCTCTCATCCGCCCCGGGCAGTCGCTGTTGCGGTATGTTGTTGTGCAACGTGTTCAGGATGTACGTGTACACTCGCATATAAGTGGGTGATGTTGCTTCGAAGTTTGGTTGAGGCATGGGTTTCTGGTCACTGGCCGGCATCGTTCCGGCGTGGGGCGCCGTCTGGGCGTTAAATCAGCTTCGGTGTGGGGTGAGGCAGAAGAAGAGGAGGGGGGCAGGGATGGCAAGGAAGAGGGTATGCGTGTACTCACTGCGCTTCCACTTGTAGGGGAACTGGCGCCTTCGAGGATGCTCTGTTGGCGATATGCCATCCTACTGCTGTTCGCCATCGTCTCGGAAGCCGGCGCCATCGAGCCATCGCCGGATGACCTGTCGGTTTCGGCAGAGCGCACCGTTGACATATCGACGCAGGTTCGTCACTTTTTTCGTGCCGTTCAGCTCAAGAAACCTAGGGCGTTCGCTACGAAGATGTTTGGTGCCATGCAACGACACGTGTTTTTGGCCGTCTGCCGCCTCAA